ATTGCACCAAACAAACCATTGACTCAAACTAGGCTCTCTGCACTGAATCTCCTACGAACATCAATTCGATCTTTTGATACTTAAGATGCCCTAAAGCTTCAGTGGATCAAAATTAAGCACACAGAAAAGACATTTCAAATGCATGAAATCATATGAAACCAAATGCACCCTTTAAAACTCCTAGACAAATTATCCACAATTTAGATAACCAGGATGACTGGGAACTATGTCCTTTTGTTTATATAGCACACACATAACATAGAAAATAACTTACCTCAGTGGTTGGTAGGGCTGCCACTACTAGTCTTCCATTGTAGATAAACAAGAATTAGATCTATAATTGTCCAATCAAAAGAAAGAATGAGATCCAATGAAGAATGATGGCTAGGAAGAAGAAATTGAAACTTCATTTTGCCAATCTTCTCAAATTAATACTCTAGAAGAACAATGAGATATTGCTTTGCTTGGAATCCTTTGCTTTCCTTGCTTTTCCCTCTCTTCCTTTCCTTCCCAGATAAGGAGCAGCACTTCCTAATGCAAGAAACTTCTTGGGTGCGGGAGGCCTGCATTGAAAGACCAAACAGTTATAGCCATGCATACAAACCTCCAATTACTTGAATTAATCAGGAAAAGGCAAAACAAATAGCCAGAAGCACTCCATAGTTGTAATCACTTCTAGAAGATTTCCATATTTGAATTAGTGGGAATTAACCTTATAACGAAAAATACCAATTCTCTACATGAAAATCCTCTTTATTGACAGCTGCCTTCTTTTAACATAAACAAGTTTGTACTTCTGATTTAAAATACCAATTCTCTGGATGCACCCTTGCTAGAAGCTAAACAAGAATTATCATTAACCAAGATATGTACTATCACCAAAAAAAAAAAAAAACACATTCAAGAAAATAATGAAGCGAAAATAGCATTAACCTGTTGATATTGTTGGTCACTGCTTTATTGTCAACCTTCTTTGTAGTTCCACTTTCATTTTTCCTCACCTCTTCCACTTCACCCTCATAGAATAAATACCTCACAGAACCAACAGGAAATTATCTGTACAATTGAGACAATTTAATATAAAAACTTAAATATCTTTAGAAGTTAAAGGGTACCGATACCGTTTGCTCTAATATATGGCATTTGCTCTAAAAAGAAATAAAAAAGTGTTCAGTAAAAATATGAAGATTCGGAGAAAAGAACCAAAATTTTCATTTATGACAGCAAAAGAAATCATCAACAAAACTGCTGGTATATAAAAACACAAACATCTCATCAGTAGTGGACCAAGAATTTGGATTTGGGGGAGAAGTTTAGAATGGGGCCAATGCACTATATGAAGTAAAAGTAATAACTGAACAGAAGAAAATTGTTCGCAATGAGACCATATGCCATTTCTCTGGGGGAAATCTGACCTGTGAATTCCCCTCTTTGCAAGTTGCAACAATTCATGACACCAAAATGTATTACATTGTATTAATCAAACAAGCACAAAACAAACAGAGTAGAAATCACATAACATAATATGATTATCAGCTTTACAACACAAATCAAATTACTAAAAATAAAAATTTCTATTATTGAATGAAAGAGGTTACGTCAAAATAGAGATAGTGAAACCTATACTTACTAGTTGGAGTTTGTAATGAATTGGAGTTTGTAATGAAGCGAAGGCTGGATATCTTTGTCTTCCAGAATATACCCACTTAGGGTTTCCATCTCAGAAACATCCATCTCTTTCTCTTCTAGAATACCCAACTGCTTTCGTTGTGGGAGTAATGAAGGAGTTGAGGAAGAGCTTTTATTGGGCACGTGTTATTCAGGTGGCACGTGACTTTAATCTCTGGAAAGTTACGATTTGTCAACAAGTCCATTTGCTGTTTGCAGCTCTTCACTTCACACTACACAAATTATTTCTCAAATTTTCAGCAACTTACTGTAATATATTATCAAATCAAATTCAAATTAGAAACAAATAGCGGTAAATCAATCAACACCTTACCCTCAATCAACCATAATATTTCAAGTAAGGTTGAAGAAGGTTCTTTGCGTTGGGATGATCCCACTCCACTGATTCCCACCATCCTTCTGAGTATCTTCTATGAATCTTGATTGCTATGAGACGAGGAGGAGGAGATGGTTTGCCATTATCAAGCAGGGGAAGCTGAAAAGGGTTCCTCTTTAACTCCGGACATTGGCATATAATAATTTCTTCAATAGAATCATAAATCATCACTCCTTTGGCACTGCAGATGCTCTTCAATTTGGGTAAGTTAGCCAACTCCAACATCCTTAACTTGGGTAAGTTAGCCAACTCCAACATCCTTAACTTACGAGAAGTGAAAGTGAATTTATCTGATGATGCTATTATCTCCTCCATTTCTGTGCAATTCCAAACTCGAATCTTCTCTAAGTTTTGAAGGGCTGGCAGTAGCTCAAGTGGAAGCAACTTCCTCATTTCTTTGCAACTGTTTATTTTAAGCTGTTTAAGATTGGAAAAGACGTGTGGTGGTGTTGGTACTCCTTCCACTCTCACAAGCACACACAAGTTGGGCAAATCATAAATAAACAGCCCTTCAAGCTTATCGAGTACTGGACAACATAATGAGGGGGAGGATGATGAGTCCAACTCAACCACGCACTCTATCCCTTTACACCATCTCATATCAAATCTTCTTAACTCGGTTGCATTTTCTAGCAAAACTATTTTGTTTAAGCTCCTGCTTGTCATGTTTTGCATGCCTTCAATCCACAAACACTCAAGGTTATCTGGAAGCACCACCATACATTCTCCATCTATCTTCAGCTGATTAATTTCAAGCCAACGTTTAATTTGAAGACAACTGTGATGATCATTCCATTCGTATGAAAATTTTTCATCTGTAATGTGTCCCATATCATTCCTAGGCCCATAACCCACAACAAGCCCATAAGCTGTAAGACTTTGGAAATTTTTGAACGAACTCACAAAAGAATTCAACTCATGTAGACCATCAAGTCGACATTCTAAAATCTCTAACTTTTTCAATCTCGCAACCTCTTCTAAATCTATCTTTATACTAGTTCCTCCCAAATAACATACTGCCAAGTACTGTAGACTAGAAAGTTTAGGCAATATTCCTGTTGGAATGTCTTTCAAATCTCTACAAATTAAATTAAGATATTCAAGACTTTCCAATATCTCCATGCCTTGAGGGACCACCTCTATTCCTGCACCTCGCAGATCCAACTTCTTCAGTGCCCTAAGCTTCCCTAAGAAAGGCAGGCACTTTAACCTCTCGCACCCCCTCAACCGCAACACAGAGAGATTCTCCAAGTCACAGATGGAATCAGGTAAAGTCTCAATATCAGTTCGAGAAAGATCAAGAACCTTGAGTGTGCCCATATCTTCAAAAAAGGATTTTGGAATCTCCGATATATGATTATCTGATAATATCAAAGTTGAAAGACTCGGACACTTCAATGACAAACCAACAGGAAGTTCTGAAATGTGAATTGCCATTAGAGACAACTTCCTGAAATCTTCGTCCCACCCTCGCTCATTCGCTACCCCTCTCAATTCTTTTACCATATATCCAAATTCAGGACCGATGATTTTGATAGCCATGTCTCTCACTACATCATGCATCTTAAAAACATCATAAGATTCGTAGTATACAATTTTCTCAATCAAACAATTCTTTACAAGCTTGTCTAATAAGGCATGACCCCTATCATATGCTTTTTGTCTACTTCCCAAATCATCAATATCAATTAATCCATCATCAATCCAACCTTCTATCAACTCCGTTCTAAAGAACTCATAATCTTCTCGAAATAAGGAGCAATACAGAAAACATCTTTTGATATCCAACCTATCCAAACGATCAAAACTAAATCTTAACCGTTGAAATATCTGATCATCCCAATCATTCACACCCTCTACACGTTCTCGTAATTCAGTTAGTGCATTTCTCCACACATTAACATCATCTACTCCCCTCATGCTTGCCGCTATCACAACAATGGCGAGTGGTAAACCGGCACACTCTTCCACAATGAGCTTCAAAATGTCTTTCAACCCAGTAACTTGCAAAATATCATCCCCAACTGTATCAAGGAATAACTTTAGAGACTCCTCTTGTGAAAGAGGCTGCACTTTAACAATCTTACAACACAAATAACTGCATACTTCAATTGATCTACTAGTGACAACTACTTTGCACCCTTTCTGTGCATTCGGATCTGGAATTCCAACTTCCTTAAGAGTGAACTTTTGCCATACATCATCTAATATTAGCACAAATTTCTCTCTTCTCATTATTTCCATTAGTGCTGCTGCTCGCATCATCACCTCTGCATCTTCTGGAAGTCTTTTGTCCATAGCACCAGCAATCTTCTTTTGTAATTCAAAAACATTGAGAGGATGTGACACAGTAACCCAGATCACTTTCTCAAATCTAGTCTCCCTCTGTAAATCGTTGTGGAGATTCTTCATGATCGTAGTCTTTCCAACTCCACCAATCCCACAAACTCCGATCATTCCAACCTCATCACCCATCAAGTACCCGCAAATTTCTTCTTTAGTAGAAATTTCCCCCACTAAATTCTCCGTTGGAATTGTGTTTCCATGAGCTGGAGCTCTCTCAATAAAAAGGCCTTCAGGAAAACTACCTTTTTCAAGCATGTCCTTCACCACATCAATTTTTCTGCAAACACGTTTGTCAAGACAGGCACGCTTGCACCACTTGACTCCCTGCACATCTTCTAAAAATGCTCGCACATCAACATTGATCTCTTGTGCTTGCTTAAGCCATTCTTGCACTTGTTGTCCAACCATTTGTCCCCCACGAGCCTCCGCTACTTGTATTCTTGATTCTATATATTGTTTCTGACTAGTTAGACCGTCCAATTTTCTTCTCAGCTCATCCACATCATCATTAAAATTTCTATGTTGATCTATACAGTTGCAGGTTGGAGTACCACAAATGCAACTCAATGCACCGAAGATTGCCCCTACTATGTCCGCCATTAAAAAAGGTCCTGAAACATAATAAATAATGTGAATAAAAATATACTTCTTCTAGTGTTCATCAACAGAAAATTCACAAGCATAAATAAACAATAAAAAAAAAGTTAATTTAAATTATCAATTCCTTCTCATCAAAGTAAATTACCAATTCCAACCATATATAGGAGGTATAAAATTAAACCATACATTACCAAAGGAAATGAGA